AATAATCTCTTAACTCAAAAATCAATTCTATACGATTAGCATCGGCATGCTATTTTTGCCGATTTTGAGCTATCAGAAACTTCTCCTTTGCATGATGTAGTACTCTGTGAATGTGCTCCACAAAGTCATTGATTGTTGCAACTTTGTTCAAAAATTTCTCTCTTTTTGGAAGTCGCATCAAATTTGAAGTAGTTATAGGTTGATCATCATACATGTGGTAAAATGAATATACTTTTGTGAATACATTTACAGAATTATTATATGAAAATTTCACAAGCAAAAACATTGTGTTTCATTCTTCTTGCTCTTCTAATGTGAATGTTTGTAGCATATACTCTATGAATCTATTTGTCTTCTCCATTTCTCCATCAATTTGAGTATGATAGGCCGTTGATATTGCTAGATTTGATTTGGAAAAACTAAACAAATTTTTCCAAAATAATCTAGTGAAGTGAATAACTCTATTCATGATTAATAGTTTGCTTAAGTCATGATTCACAAAAACTGTCTCTAGATACATTTAAGCTAGTTGTGAAGCTGTTAGTGTTTTTGTGATTAGTCTGATGTGAATCATCTTGCTCAATTTCTACACTAAAATCATGACTAAAGCATGTTCTAACAAAGTATTTGTTAATTCACATACACGCTCCAAGGTTTGTAGGTGAAACTTGGCAATCAAGTATTTAAAATTTGCAAAAATGTAATGCAAATAATGGAATGGTTTGAGTATGGGAGGTACTTCGTGACAATCATCAATGCTATGCATGAAGACGAATGGATCATATTGTCAAGTTTTGCAAAATTTGACCAACATCATAAAGAAAAAGGTCCATACAGCAACGACCGTTCCATAACATGGAGGGCATAGAGTATGAAGAAGTTGAGGAAGAAATTTTGGAAAACAAAAATCATCAATAAACTTGGCTTGTGGCCCTACTGATTTCACAAAACAAAGAAAAAGTGAGGTTGAAAGAAGACAATGATTGAAAGTTCATGGAAAGAGTAAGAAGCAAACTCAATTCATTTTTGCATATGATTTGATGAAAGTAAACAAGGTGAAAGTTTTGATTCATCTTGGAGCAACAAAGAATATTTTTTTCAATGACTGTTGCTATGAAGTTAGGTTTGATGTTGATAAAGTATGTGAATGAGTAAATTGAATTGCCAAACAGTCAAATTGAAATGACAAAAACACTACAACGGAGTGTAAAACTATCAATATGTAGATACAATGAGAGCATTGAATGAAAAGTAATTCACTTAGCTCATATGATGTCATCATTGGAATGTCATGGATGGAGTTATATAATCGGGAGATAGATTGGAGAAAAAAAGTGACAACAAATAGTGGTTGAAAGATCTATGGATATAAAATTGGACCTCAGAGTAAAAGTTTATCACTCTTTGTGATGTATAAAACATCACTTTCTAGAGATGATGTTTTTTTTATATATAAAAAATATTAGATACACTAACAAACTTTATATACCGGAGTCCTTGAATGACATTTTTATGTAATATGAAGATACTTTCCTAGATGATCTACCTGTAAGATTAGCACCAAAGAGACGAGTAGATCACAAGATTGAGACGATACTTGGAAGTACACCAACTTGCAAACCTCTATATAGTTTGACTCCAAACGAATTGGAAGAATACAAAACTCAAATTGAGTAGATGTTGTGCAAAAGATTCATTCAACCAAGTATTTAATTTTATGGAGCTCCAGTTCTCTCTGTGAAGAAGAAATATGAATCCATGAGACTATGCATTGACTATCATAGGTTGAATCAACAAACGGTGAAAAATAAATATTCTTGTATGTATGATTTGTTTGATCCAACTTCAAGGAGCAAAGTACTTCACTAAACTAGATTTGAAAAACAACTATATTTAAATTTGAATTGCATATGTAGATATCCACAAGACTATGTTTTGTACTAGGTATGAACACTTTGAGTATCTAGTGATGCCTTTTGATCTCATTGATGCACTAGCTACATTCATAGGATTGATGAACGATATTTTTCATCTTTATCTAGATAAATCTCTCATTGATTTTTTAGATGTTTTTCTATTGGTGTATGGCAAAATTTTGAATGATCATAGATGTCATTTACGAGAAATACTTCAAGTTTTCAAAAAAAATCAATTGTATGTCAAAGCTTCAAAATGTGAATTTGGCAAATGGAAAGTAAATTACTTGAATTATAGAGTTACAAGCGCAGAAATCCAAGTAACGACAAAGAATATAGAAAACTTTCCTAAATGGATAGCACTAGAGTATCAAACTCAATTAAAAAATTTTCTAAGACTCATTAGTTTCTATCGTAAATTTGTGAAAGACTTTGCTCGTCTAGCTCAAGTCTTGACTTCCATGTTAGAAAAAGGTCAAAATTGAAGATGAGCAAGAATTCAAGATTTAGATTTGTAAACATTATAAAATGATTTGTCACACGGACCTATATTCAAGTGATATGATCATAACCTTCCTATCAAGTTGGTTATTGATGCATCATGTATAACGGTGAGTGACATACTTCAACAAGAATGTAAGGAATGGAACATGTTATAGATGGAAACATGTCACCCTGGATCTCGTATGTGACTTACCAAAAACTTCGTTAGAAAATAAGTCAATGATGATTTTTGTGTACAAATTGAGCAAAATAATTCACATCAGGCCAATCACAGAAATAATGTCGCCTCCACAACTTACTCAATTGTACTTAGATGTTACTTTTGTGAATCATGAATTAAATAAAGTCTTAATTACAAATAGAGATATTTATTTCACTAGTTTGTTTCGGAAAACTTTGTTCGGTTTTTTCAAAACCATATTAGCAATATCAATAGCTTAAACAAAGAATAGATAATATGCTACGTGCATTCACATTAGAGTAGCAACAAGAGTGATATAATTTTTTGACTCTTGTGAAATTTGCTTACAAAATTTTTTTAAATAAATCCAGGAAGATATTTCCATTTTACCTCAAGTAAGGTGGTACTTCCATTATTACATCAAGTTTGATAAATATTTCAAAATGAGAAAAATTTGAAACTAAAATATCCACGGTTAACGAATTTATGGAACATATCCACAGAAAGCTACATCAAATAAAGGAAAAGTTTGTTGATTGCTCATGTTCAATAAAAATAGCATTTTTATGCTCATCGTCAAGAGTTGATTATTTAGGTTGGGTATCAGATTTGATTATCTACAACAAATTTGATTCTTGTAAAAATACCAAAGTTTAATTCTATATTTATTGGTAATTTTGTAATATAAAAACGTGTTAATGAAATGTCATACAAATTGTAATTTCTGTCACATAGGAAAATGTATCCTGTATTTTAGGTGTCACGATTGCAAAGACATGTAACACGATCAAAAGAATTCAAAGACCTTCAAGTATTATTTTATTTACCAACATTGATAATTGATCATGAAAAATTTGAGTTAAAAAATATACTTAAAAAACGGATTTGAGGCCATAAGTATCCAAAGTTTGAATATTTGGTTCAATAGAATTAATATACATACTACAAGTACACTTGAAAATTTTTAACTAATGCATCGTTAATAGTTCAAGAATTTAAACGAATGTGTAAAGAGATCATTATATCTTAAAAGTATTGAAATTTGTATTCATCTTTAGTTAACTGAAATTAAAATAAAATTTATTCAAAATGAAATTATAATCATTTTATTGTACACTAATCATAATTTTCAGATAAACGATTCGCATGTTTAATAGTTAGAATATAAATATGTTAATTGACAATAACATATTAACGATTCGTGTATTTATTAAATTAAAAAATAAATGTACTAATTGATAACAACCTATCAAAAATTCGTATGATTATCAATGAAAGATTGAATGTGTTAATTAACAATGACATTTCATTAATATTCATGTTTATTAGAGTTATTTGTTCACATGATGAGAAGAAGATATTATTTTTATGTATTTGTTGATAAAAATTATATCAAAAAATAAAATCATTTTAATATTGTTCATTTTCATAATTTTAATTTTATAATGAATTTTTTTAAATTTTAGTATTATAATTTTAAATGTATTTTCAATACATACGAAAAAAATGTCATCAAAGGTTATTTATAATACTGAGGAAAAAAACACAAAAAATTACTCAAAGCTTCAAAAATTAAACTTTTTAAAAATGGCCCTCCAAATTCACATTCTAGCAACACATTCAAAAACGAGATTGCTTTGGAAAACGTTAGTACAAAATCGTCAAAAATACATTTTTTTTTAGTGAATGGTACGATGACAATCTTTACAAACACATGTTAGATCGAACCTGGAATGAAAGAAGACAATGCAATAGATATTCCACATGTTGTGTCTTGCCGAGATCATGCCAATATATAGTTTAGTAATATAGTATATATAGTTATCTTGATGATTACAATACAAATATCACCATTCATAAATGTCAAATGCGTGATAAATCGAAAGTGATAAAATGACAAATACCACGTTTTGGGAGGCGTGCGTTGTATCCGTGCTTGAATGAATCAGCACACTTAGTGACATATGCACGGTATTCATCGCCAATTCCATTCGCTAAAGTCATAGATGCGACATGGGTTGCATTACAAATCTAATCTTTTCCAACGCTTCACTGGTCCACATTTCGCTCTCGCTGAATCGGGGGTGAATGGGCGTATATACACGGCCTCATCACTGATTAGAGTTCACCATGCTCTTCATTTGTTCTCATGCAGCTCGTTGCAGACTCAAATCAAAGCTTTTGGTGTACAATTTGCGACGAAAACATTAGTATGGTTACTGCTCCATGGCCTTCAGGCCACATGTCTCCATAGGATAATCAGTGTGGCTCAAAACTGATGTGTAATTTCAAGTACAGAAGTCGTTTGACTGACGCCAAGTTATATCCCAAGTCCAGCGGATTTTACCCGACAAAATAGTCTTCCCAAGAAGCATGTGCGGTTCGCGTTTACACCAAAACACGTTTATTTTGATACAACAACAGTCTGAAACATCGTATTTAAGGGAACAAAATAAGATAATACACACATACTTTTGAAGATGCACGCAGTTTGTCTACATGGAAGGGCCGACCAGTCAAGGACGACGTGTCAGTCAGTTGGTGGCTGCAGCATCACACTTCAAGAACGATAATGTGGTTCACTGGATCTTAGTTTGCATCAGCTCTGGCAAAAATATGAAAGAATGACAGGGAAGCCTCTGCATGCCCTCTCTCTGTATGTACAATTCCTATGGACTACTGCCTCGTTCGTAGCACTCATATCGTGAGGGCTTCCCCTTCTGCACTAGGACCTTTAAAGTAACTGAATTCATTGTTCAGACCAAAGCTAGCCCAGCTCCTCACATTTGCGTAACCTTTACTAGAGCGATGATATTAACCATCCAGGGCGACTTCTAACACCGCCACCCCATTACTCTTACGTTGAGAAGTTTTTGTTAGTGCGAGGAGAAGTCTCTGTCTTTGAGGATGAACGGGCCAACCATGGTCCAAACTGCAAGATACATCACCCAGAAACAAGTCAGTTACGAACAGAATGTGGAGATTAGTTTAGGGTGGAAGAGTGGCACCGTTTTCCGTGTGGCTGACAACGTTTTGATCTGCGACAGGAGTCAGTCAATGCACAGATGTACAAATACACACTTCATACACTTGGACTTTTCATAATTGAAATCCATGAGACTGATCTTTTCGACACTGAAGTTGTAGTGAGGAAAAAAAGGCTAAATTGCTGGTTAGTAACATAAGTCATGGATAGGAACTCACTGTACAAAGCAGCTGCGAGCCACTCGTTCACGATCTTCACCCAAGTACTCGCCCAACCGACGTCAATACTCCACCTGCGGAATAAAGAGCAAAACACCGCTTAGCTCAAATTTCAAAACTAAATGTTCGGCTCTCATGATGATTGTTTGCGAGGCCTACAATCCGTTGAATCCTGTCTTCAGCTTTGCGAACTCTTCACAATATTCTGTACAAAGTCAGAAGACATGCACTATGATATGATGACTTACTCTTGTGTTGTTTGATGCAAATTCCACCCAACAAATAGCATGGCGAAGTACATTGCACCCATCGCGAAGACAAAGTGAAAGAAACCATATCCATACGGTACTTTGTCCTCGGATTCTTCCTCCACAGTCTTGAACTGGAAATTGTCAAGTACGCCGTATTGGTTAAAGATGGATCAAAGGTCTGAAACATATAATACATTGCAAGGCAAAGAGCAAAGGTAACAAATAGTGCTTGACATGAACTCACAGAAAATGCTTTCGAGTCGATTCCAGTGGAGAATGTTGACATGACAATTGCACCGAACGCAATGAGAAAACTCTGTCATAATCACAGACAAGACCCAAGCGGTTCAGAACACTAACCACACGCCCCCACCCGAAAATATCGCTGCTTAGACCTAAACTTCGATACTACAAAGGTCGAAAGCTAGAATGGCGAATCAAAAACGATGTAATAGCAGGTTTCGATAGCATAAGATCTTGATAATATACCACGATGGTCAGCCAATCTCCTTTTCCCGTTTGCCTATGCCTGGTATTGCAGGTCTCGGAAATAGGTTCACTGCAAGAAACATGAGACATTCAGGGCACAGAGAGCTGTCTGAGAATTGCGACTTGCTTGCTCGACGGCAGTAAAACTAAAACCTTACTTCAACTGAAACTTGGTGAAACCTAAAATCAGTTGTTACCTCATAATGGCTGACCAGCAGAGAAACACAAGATACAAACCCATCAGGCCTGACGTAAGGAGACCCGCATTGACCTACGGAAAGATGAAAGACTTTGTCAGAATTACTCCGTACGAGGCACCAGCTAACTGAAAACTTCCCAAATCAAAGAATCAGAACTGTCATTCCAGCGGCCACAGACAAGAAGTTTTGAGATGACCATGTACATAGAAACCTTCTACCGAGTTCCATCATTGATTCAAGATGCGCTTTGAGTCCAAATCCATCCTGAAAAGATAACGTACCTCGGGTTTCAGAGAAATAATTGTCATGATGATAATGAGTATGAGGGTCCACGTTATGAAGAAGATGTTCAGGCTACATGAAGGTCTCGGTGCGAACCATATGTACATCAAAACCATGACCGCGATAGAAGTCACAATTGAAAATGCAGACACCGAAACGATGGGCACCCGACTGTCAAATTGAACACATACAGACGGTAAGAAGAGGAACAATAATTAGCCGCAATTACAAGTTCCTCCAAGTGAAAGTCCCTCCAACCAGACGTAACGAACAAATTCTCACGACAATTAGACGAGTCGTACCAACGGCGGATGTTCTTGTCGGAAAGCCAGCTCTCGTTCCACCAATATACGAAATTCAGTATGCTGATCAGCTGAATGATCAAAAACAGCCTGTTGTACCATTAAACAAGTGTCAGAATGTACAAGGACACTAAAATATGCAACGTTGATCCAAGTCTCATTTGATAAAAATACGTATGAACTCCAAAAGCCAGTCAGAAAATTAGTGAGAATAAACGCATTTCCTAACTGTTGTGGAGTGCAGAGCTTACCCGGCACCAAACCTTGCTATTTCACCTGATGGGACACAAGGGACAAACACCATAATCTCAATCAGCAAGACAAGACGTCAACTCGCAGAAATTCCACATAGCTACTGAGGTTCAAATTTGTAATCAATACACATGGCTATAAATATCTCAGAATCTCACCGTATATCTGTATGAAGGACGATGGAATGAAGAATGGTATAACCATCAGAAAAACCCATAGAAGACTTTTGACTGGCCACCAACCGGAATGCCACGCATCTCTAGGATCATCCGTTCTTGATGTTCGCACAGTTGTGAGGTACATTATGAAGAAAAACAGCTAGGACTTGGTCAAGGAGAATACAAGTTGACAGGCATCTCCAAACGCTGAATTACGTACTTCATAAACATGATTCACAGCTTCTTCGGACAAAGTCAATCATACACTCATTCAAGAAAAACTGAATACTTTGCGTGAAAATTCTCGTAAATCCTCGAGCAACCATCTCTCAAATGACAAGGATACGAAGCATCCCAAACTGACTCGCAATACACCCTCCGACCCAAGGCAATCGAATTCCCCTTCACATCCACTGAGATCTGCAGGAACAATGGTCCAGAACTGAATGAGTATAAAACGGCAACTATTTATGGTGATTTGGAGCTATGCATGATCTCAACCACAAAGAATCAAACTCCACCTCGGTTAGCAAAAATTGCTGGATGAGGACATTCTGACTTGAAATTTGAACGTGGAGAGCAAGACCCAGAAGATGAACAAGATTACATAAACCATTATACTCCTCGGCTGCCTGTTTTCGGATTTCCCTTTGTATATCTTCCGCATATCTTACAACGCTTAGAAAAGCCTACAGGTCTGAAACTACGAAAGGACAGGGAGAGTTCTCGACAGGTTGTAAGGAGAGACTGCTTACAATGAAGACTATCCAAGGCTCGGTGACTGTAGTCGCGGACCATCCAAGCTACAACGCTCGTTAGAAGAAATATGACCCCGTACACATATCGTGCAACCATACGATTCGGTCCCACACATGAGTGACAAATGCAAGAATCGGCCGAGCAGATGCCCATTGCAGCACAGCGGAGTATATTGAAAACTAATCGATCGAAAACCTTAAAACTTCCTGCTGAATACTCCCGCTCTGCCTTCACCGTTCCTGATTCCAGACGTCGGTTGCATTACGGTTGGCAGCCAGCCAGCCAGCCAAACCTGTTGCGCAAGAGCACGATCTGAAATCGACCTCGTCCCCGTCGTTTCTTTCAGAGGAACATAGAAGACTTTGAGTCTGATGCTGCAGGATGTAGTTGTTGAAGTCGTAGATGTCTGCCAGCGATAACTAATCGAAAATCCATCATCGACGCGTTCTACACAATCTGCGGGTCGATTACAATTTCAGAGAATGAAGACGGTTGCCAAATCTGAAAACCGTGCCCGATCAGCCCTGAGTTACACTTGCAACGCCCTGGTGGTGGTGGTTTTAGTTCGAGCTCAAAGAGCTTCGTGGAGACTGTTTGCAACGTCCCCCGCACTTTTTCTCTCTCGGAGAATGTGGCTACTGCCCGCTGACTGTTAGCCCGTCCTCTGAGACCCCACCTCGTCCGCACACAAGGAAAATGCTTCTGATGGTGGCAAAGCTGCAATTGAGCTTCCACGTGCTGGCCCGTATCACGGATAACTTATCGCCGTCGAACAAACGAAATAAACCTCGTGTCTCTTCCTTCGTTCCCTGCCAACTCAACTCCTCTCTCTCTCTCAGTGCAAATTAACGCTTTGGTACCTAAGCTTCCGTTCCACTCGGACTCGAGAATGTCTCGATTGCTTGAATAGGTGCGCAGAGCTACTGGAGCCTAATCCGTTGGTAAACGGCACCAAAATCCGAAGAACATAAAATGAATGTATCTGTAAAACCAAAGCTGTAGTAGAGGGGTGAAAGCTTAGAAGAATAAGCAGAATCGGGACTCTCCAGTAAATAATCTGCGCTTAAGCCCGGAAGACAAACTCGCACAATTGTTTTGATTTCTTCAAAATGGATCGAACTGCTCGACGAGAACGCCGCGAGCTGCTCTCACCTGCTGGTACCGTGCATGATTCTCTTCGCAGGCTAGCAAGTCATACGTACTCGGGAGGTGGGATTCAAAGTTCCAAGCTTCAGCTCTAGACTAATTATCGGGACACTTTTCTCCCCACACGGATTTGATGTGCGAATTGATTGTGGTGGAACGCAGGTGCCAAAATGCACCGCTGCTGCGACCAACAAACCGACCAACCGACCTCGGTGTCTGAGACTCTGACTACCACAGACCCAGCCACCACCACCCAGCCAGCCAGCCAGCGAGAGCGATCGAGCCAGAGGTACAGGCGTGCGACGGTTCCTTGCTCTCTTCTATCCCTCCTCCCGTCCCTGAGTCCGTCCTGACCGACACCGAGTGCAAACACGAGAGCACAGGCGGAACGCAATCACAAGCACCTGCGAGCCGTGGGACACAGCAGGCCCCCAGTTCAGAGGCACGGGCACGGTTCCGCTGCTCGCCTCATCCTCCCTTCGTCTCTCGCCTACTTGCCCCTCGTCCAGGCCTCGCAAGGTTCGCCTCGTGCTCAGTCAAGAGCATCTATAGCACAGAGATAAGGTGGGGTCTAGCAGTAAACAATTGCGAACTTGCCTGGGACCTGATAATCGCGCAAGTGTACAGATCGGGCCTGTCCACCCTCCACAGATTCAGTGCAGGGCAAGGCCGGTTAACAGATCAGTAAAATACAATCCCGTCTTTCGGCGGATGCAAATCCAACAATCCAGTCCAGTCCAGTCCAGTCTAGTCTAGTCCTACTACGTTTTGCATCAGCTACTGACTGCACTAGACTCCCAACTGCAGCTTACGGCTGAGTGGCGACCCAAGGCCTGATGTTCGATAACATGGCTGCTCTGCTCGCAGGGAAAAGCGATGCGTTTAGCACGACAGGGAGAAGCTGGCACCGAGCTGCGCTTATAATATTGCAGTTGTTTGTCCCATCGTCCGACGGGAATCTTTCGATTTCTAAACACGGCAGGTCGTTGATTGATTACGAACTCCCCGAGCTGGACAAAGAACATAACGGATCATGACATTCACGGCTGGCGGGCTGGCCGGAACGGAGTGTGAGTTGACTGAAATGGGAGTTGCCGTTGCACAGAGGGAGCATCCGAAGGGAATCCCTGAGATTCTATGGCCTAACATAGAAACCCTCTCACCCTTCTAAACAGGAAAACTGCCACATAGGGGTCCCTAAATGCCGCTCTGTTTCGACAGTACCGTTGCAAATATGCAAGAGGCGGAGGCCACTCGAGCCCAAAACCAATCCCAACCCAATCCCAACCCAAGGTCAAGCTAAATCTCAGCCCCCACGAGTTCAGCTGCCCATGCCGAATGGACGGGCAGGGGACCAGCGCAAAGTGTTCCCGTCCGGTGACCCGAAGGACTCACTCAATGACTCATTCGGCTACCTCACTCTTTCACTCCTCTACTCCACTCCTCCACTCGAGCCTATTGTTGCCAAAAATCAAAAGGACAAAAGAAGCATCAAATGCGTGACGTGACGTTCCCTGGAAGCATACAGAAGCAGAAGCCGCTGCGCTCTCTCGGAGCTCGCGAGCGCAGGCAGACCAGGTACCGAAATGTACTGTGGCAGTTAAAGGCTACCACGACTTCGATGTCGTCTAAGGCAAAGAGGCAGCGCTGTAGATTTTCTAGCCTCTGCCATGCACACCAGCCCGTCCGAGGTACACCTTGGAGGACAATTCTACGGTCGGATGTGGTCGCAAACACGATTGTACTGTATAGATTTATGTACCTTGTAGTCGTACCTTTAGGCAGGAGGCGGGAGTCGGCAGTTCGCGAAAACTGTATTCCATCAATAAGTCCAGTAAGTTAACCGTAAAGCAAACTGTATTCCTTCTGTATGTAAGCAGAGTATCATGTACTTATGAACACGGCTCTTAACTTCCAAACGTGCGGAACATTAACTTGCAGATGTTCTTGCATGATGCGACGAAGCGAATTAGTAATGGACGTAGCGTTAGTACGTTCGGTCGAAGCTTTAAACACATTTCTCATCTCACCTGAACCTTCGACGACATCGCCACCCTGAGACAGAACGAGAGCATCGGGAGTCAGACTTCTGGGAGGAGATCCCTCTTCCCCTCCCGGCCCTTGCCCTTGGTGGGCTCTCCGGAGCACTCTTTGGGTATATTCAGGCTTTCAGGAAAGTTCCTCGAGAGGCTTCCTCCTTCCCGCTGGCTTATGGGCTGAAGACCTCAGTCGCGAGGAGATCTTGAGTGCCAAGTTATACTGCATAAAGGGCTGATCATTGAGTTAGCACTTGGACTTGTTCCGAATGCGGCATAACGGCTGGTAGCTGGAAGTTACCGGTTATGGGCGTTTGACTTTATCCGGCTGATACGGGCGAGCGGGGAGCTCCCGTTGGCTCAAACGATCCTTCTCGGAGGTTTGGACCGGCTCGACCGGAGTGAGGGACGGTCGCCTCCAAAGTCGGAACTTGGACCAGAGCAGCGGAGGTGGCTAGCGTTGGAACCTGGAACTTGGACGCCGGTGCTGCTGGACGGATGACGCACGAGGCGAGAAGCCCGCGTGATGGGCGTCACGCAACTGCTGTCCGGCAAAAAGACGGGCCTCCGACGGGGATAGCTGGGGAGAAGAGAAGTTACCGCATCGCTTGCGGGGACGACTACGTCGGACGGACGGACTGGCGAGCGGCGAGGGAAGATCGCCGGAAGTACGAGAACAGGCGCCCAGCCCGCGCGCTGCAGAGCTCTCCACCGCACCGTTCCGGCGTCGGCCGCCGTACAGTGAAGACCGGTACCGCAACGGGGCTCTCACTGAAGAGAAGAGAGAAGATTTTCCTCCCGTGGATTGCATGCTCGAGCCTCGAATCACGGACTCTTGGATGGTGCCGAGCTCGGGGGGGACCCGGGAGCCCCGCGCTTCCTTCCTTCTTGCTGGAGACCGCGACGGGAAGATCCTCTTCTCCAGCATACTCCCGGCTACGTGTTTGATGTTTCGGGATTGTACGACGGGATCCGATTGCGGTCAGTCGGTCCTTCACTCCTGCGACGCTCGATGCCTCTCGGCGAATCAATGTAGCAATCAGTCAATTGATTGAGCCCGAACACCGATGTACACAACCACGGAGCGGCGAGGGTGTTGGCGAGGAGATCTGTTGGATGATGACCGAATTTAATCCTGGCTCACAACTCGGTCACGAACGGGGGCCTGCTGACGGCAGAAATGGCCACATGTGGAGAACTGCTGAAAAGAAGTTGTAAATCGTCGAGCCACGAACCTCGTTGGGGCAGCGTCGGGCGGGGTCGGGAGGTGGAACTGTCGAGGTCAAATCGGTCACATGTTTTTATGTGATCTTCTGTTTGGTTTTGCTGGCGACTCTGACTTCCAACCGATTGGTCGTTTTGTTTAAGTCCTCATGCTGGTACTGATCTGACCTCCGTTGTCCTCCAGCAGCAGCTGCTGCCAAGTGATTGCTGTAATGACACACCGTCAAGAAACAACAACCTCCGCTAAAGAGTATGTATCCCCAACCACATTTACGGGTTCGGACAATCTATTTGACTACTTTTATCATCTCTACCAAAGGTCGAAATTATCACATCAGACTCCATCAAGATAGTCCGGTGAAATGCCTGTACAGAATCTTTTGCTCTCTCCACTCCCATGATCCCATCTCAGTTAGCAAGCGTTAGGGTAGGGTGATCTCAATCGTGTTCGACTATCAATCATTGCATAGAGCGCAAGTCGATCGTACGTAGAAGCAATAACAGGGGCGGTAATACCCCAAGTGGAAAGTCAAGTTTACCACACTCGAAAATGCTTCAGAGTTAAAAGGTGAAAAAGAGATAGCGAAATCTCTCGGACGGGATGCCTTCCTGATCATATTGTCCACAATAACGCACTTGCAACAACGTACTACTAAATCCGAGAAGTAAAAAACAAAAAGTAAAACAAAAAACTATAGCAAAGTACAGCAAAAAGAATTGTGGAAAGTTACACTGTAAGGAATTAAAAAAAGACTCAATGCGTGAATACCTTCGAATCCAGCGAGCACTGCTTTATGGTGAGCCTATCTGTCAAAGTGAAAAGCTTCCGTCAATGTTACTGGCAGTTGACTGACCATTCGTCATGGCTATAACCGCAACCTTGCTTCTTCAGGTTAAAGTCCTGAAAACTGGATTTCAATTCCAGCAGATACCTGGTCCGATTGAGCTCATAGACCCTGGGAAAGCAGACTAGGGTTCCTACTTCATAGGTACTGTAGTAGTTGTTGTGCCCCTCACGCCATTTTCTTTTGTGCCTTGTGTCCCTTACACTTCAAACTTGGATAGAAAAATCAGAATTAGTCCCTGGCTTATTTCGATTATCAATGTAGGATTTGTCTCTCTCGGTTCACTTATTCACAGCCTTCCATCTGTACTACTTTTCGCGAGAGCACCTCATTAGTGGCGTCATTACAAACAAAGAAATGAGGTACGGAAGATTCTCTTACCACTACCGTGAAGGACGAAACCATCTCAATAGACATAAACTTAAAAACATTTGAAACAAGAAAAATTGCATCCCAGCTAAATAAAAATAGAGTGGTAAGATTGTAGAAGGCACCACCTCGAGTAGACAATGGACCCCCACCGTGGTGTTCTTCTATGTACTTTTTCCCCACTAATTTTTTAAGACATAAGACTACGAGGCTTGAATAATAAATTCGCAGATCCAGTATGGCAGAGATCTGAATGAATTACAGAGAAGTCTAGATCTCAACATGCGATACATATCGAAAAAATACTCCTGTTGATTATAGGAACTGCGCTTCAACCTTGTCCATTCAATTAAAATTTATACAGAGGCCTAGAATAACGATTTAGTTATTCTAGACGTTAGTTTCATGGTCAACTAGGTTTCGAATGTTCTTTTTGGTTACACGTTGAGACATCAGATGGCGTCGCATATGAATTTCATATCATATCTTCATCTTTAGATCTGAACCTATAACTTGGTATGAATCAGGCTGACCCGGTTCTTCAACGAACAAAGATGTTCTGCTATCATTAGGGATCTACACCGAGAAGGTTGAAGGTGTATGTTTAAGGCTCGTACCATTCTGCTTGAATCATACCATGCCAGATTGTGAGGTCAGTCACTGTTAAATCGTTCAATAGCTAACTGGATGCAAGTGACTCATGTTTGGAACTAAGTCAAAAAGCATGTCAAGTTAAGCATGAGAACATTCCATGCACACGATTCGGGCATCTCACTCCAAGTTATCTCTCGTCAACCGGCCTATATCCTCGAATACCTGGTTGGCGTTATGTAGCTCACAGGAATAATCAATGGAGATACATTTCATGGAGATTGCAACTATTTCAGTTCGTATTTGCTATCATGGCTCATATTTCGGGGATGCAAAATAATGAAACAGGAGCTCAAGCTGGGTGATGGATGTTATTTTACTGCCCAATAATTACCCCGCAGACTCACATCCTTCAGTACAATGCCGTAGTGTGAAAAAGCCCAACAATATCATATCATTCATTTGTTAAATCTACGATCAACGTCATCTTCACCCTCCACTTCGTCTATTCTGATGGGTCAGCAGCTGCCTAGAATTATTATCACCTTGAAGTTTATCATAACAAAGTGACGCAAACGAGTCAACCAGGTAGCGAGCCCAGTCATCAGCAGATGATGATGCGGTGGACCTGCGATATCCAATGTCGGCACATCTCAGTCACTACATTCTTGCGAGAGGCATTATTCCTAAGAGTTTATGCAACAATATACGGCATAGAAAAATACTGCAATTGTCGGCCTGGACCTCAATCAGGAGAAATTCATAAAACGTGTGCTCACTAGAATCCAAGATGATCGGTGTTTCATTACGACTTTTTGCGCACTCCTGCCCACCCCTTTTCCGATACCCGGACGACCTGGGCATCATCTCAGGCACTGAGGTTGTGAGAGGTGTAGGGTTCAATCTGTCGGCTGCAAAATCTTTGCATCCAAACCGCTTATGTGAAGGACAATAATCCGTCGGCCTTCAATATACCGAGGTTATACCGCTCCCTTTCAGTCTCGTGATGTCCTGCACTGTTGATGTGCAGACTCGCCATTGTCGGCCCTTCTCGGTCAACAAAGTTTAGAAAAGCAGTGTTCTGTGTCTATACAAACGGAAGAAGGGGACACGGTCCATGTCGAAAGATCTGTCCACTTTGCGGTTTTCAGAGTCAATGGTCACATGCCTGCCTACTCAGCCGATCACACAACCAAAAGATCCAAAGTGTCCGAACTTCACTCCAAAGCTTCCCAGAAGAGAACAAACAAAAAGACGCCGCCGATCAACGGACACTGCAGCATGGCTGCCAAGGCGACAGATCCTCCAGCGCCACTTACGCGGTGGAGTTCGTGGGACCATTAATGCGGTGGGACCACGCGAGCCACGATGCATTTCAGAAGCATGGAGAGTCGAACTAATGATAGTAGTTATATTAAAACACCATCTATGCTCGCCTCTCTTGTGAAATTCCAACCTATCCTCTCTCAACGATTCATAGACACTTAATACTTCTCAATCCAAGCCATGAGTTCCATTTCGTAGCTTTTCATAATAGTTTCGACGGACTTTCCGAGAAAGGAAGGAAAAACTACCCGTTCCCAGAATCCAAGAAAACTAAGACAAGACTGCACTCGAAATCTGGAGCCAGCCGTTTGTAACTTTTCGCATCCATCCCAGAATCGAAATCTCCTTTACCTTCTTCTTTCTTCTCTCCGCGCTTCTGACTTTCCCAATGAAGAAATGTCTGTTGCTCTGTGGGTTAGCGAAGCGCCTGAAACAAGATATTACCCGCACCGTATACATGCATACAGACCCTAAGCGATGTGAATAATTCCGCAGGTATCTTTTGCTGCAGGTTCCAGGCCCAAAGGCTCCTCCTCTTCACGATATTTCACTTATCATCTTCCATATATTTCTTATTCTCCGTTCTCTCGCCCGAATCATCCTTAAACGGAGACCTGCATGTGAGATCCAAGTGTTAGTAGAAAAGATATGGAGATGGAAGAAAAAATCTCCCCAGAAACATTCGGCACAGCAAATCTTTGCTCCAGATCGAGGAGCCGAAACTAGCAAGGAGGTGCGCAAGCGAGATAGTGATAAGCCCTGCTTAGCTCAGAGCTCTGTCTCAGGCTCGCATGGTTTCTTGATTTGTTGGGGCGGGAAACATTTCGATCGCCTTTGAGAGCTTTCGACGACGGCGGAGCAGCCGGAGGGTGCTAGAGGGAGCGCACACAGTCAGCCTCGAGAGGCAACCCACAGATCATCAGCTCATCAGCCCATCGGATGAGAGCAGAACGGCCGCACCTGCCGTGACGACAAAGACTCCGTCGCTGCAACCGGAAATTTGAGTCTCTTCGATTTCTAGAACTCCGAATTTTCACGACACCTCGGTTTTTTGGAATCGAACACACGAAAGCGATTTACACACGCGTCAAGTTTACATTCGTCACCCTGAACCCGTGTACAGCTCAACCAAGTACTTGCTATTTTGGTGCAATGGTTGAGTTTAAGTAAGCAACCATCACTAGAGTTTTATTTTCATTTGTAAAGGTCAAGTTCTCACAGTGGTATTTTTTCTGTGATTTAATAAAATCTGTACCAAATTTAACATCTAGCCCATGATCGGTACCTAACATGTATGTTTTGACACGGACATCCAACACTTACTAAACATTGCATGATCACTTCATGGTTAACAGTAGAACATGATGACATGAATCATTTTTCTTCAATTGATATGGCTATGGCACTTTAGGTCAAAGATGATATGCTGTCAATATGAGACGATAAATAACATACGGGTGTAAAATTTGGAAGTTCCGGGATGAAAAAAATGCTTCAAGATATCATCTCTTAAATTTTTCTAAACATGAAAAAAGGTCATGATGCAAAGGCAAAAATCTGGTCATGAATATACTTTATTGTGAAATTAATTATTTTATTAATGATAGAGATATGATTCCAGATCGGGACAAACATCTAGAAGTGGTGTTTGTCTTTCCACTTGTGATTAAAAATGTATGTCTATCGTGGCTGTTGTTTTTGCACGAGGTTGTTAAAAGCGTTTATGCCGTAGAATTACTAAATTTCATAATTCTTTAAATTTTTCTTAGTCGCAATCTGGGATCTAATGATGTATTTATTTCAAGATAATCTATACAAGTTTCAATGTTCTTAAAATGATGATTTAAACATTCATTTATAAATCTTCTCTATTGCTTTTTTTTAACAAAAGTTATACAAAATTCAATTTCTACAATTTGGCAGAAGATAAAAGTATCAAATCATAAATTATTATTTTTCATTCGTGATCTTATTTATGATTATATTAAAGAAGTTGTGTTTTTGATCATTTATTTCATATAATTGAAGATTTTATTTCTTATAAATTATCAGAATATGTCTTTAAAAATAAATTCATTTTACATTTAAATCTTTTAGTTGAGATCAATAATATTTGATTTCATTAAGAAATTCAAATATCATTAGTGTTTCGACTGATGAGAGCATCTTTGAAATTTTATGGAGTGATGAGGACATACTTGGAACACATAAACAAATTGGCTAATAATTACAATATGCGACCTGTCTAAGTTTCCACATACCGCAAAAATATTGGGGTTTAAGATTTGTTAAATGAGCGTGCTTCGTCTCCTACCTCTCCATGGAAAAAATATTTTTTGCAATCCACAGCATTATCTGAATCAACTAAACCATTGCTAAGATGACTTCAAAGTGAAGATAAAAATAAGAAGAGAGGAAGCAATGTTCTTACAGGGATGAAAGATAACGAGCCATGCAGTTTGGCGCTGCTGTCTTTTCGAATGTAAAGCATGTCTTCAAGCTCATAAAATCTTCCAACAGATTGTCAAATGAGCTCTACTCAACATCTTCGGACCTCCGGACTCAATCAGATCATTCCATGATCGACTTCGGATTGTCTCACACCTTTCTGCTCATGCCTTCACTTATGCTGTAATCTTGAGCTAGAAAAATTTTACTTGGAGAATTTGTTTTGCTTAGTTTTTTCGAGATTATATATTAGTCTTAATGTTATTTGAAACGCTGTTTCTTATGTTTTGACATTGTTGCAAAACGCAAGCGCTTTTAGAGTGGCAAATTTAAAGTAATGCAAGCTAATTATTCATAAATTGGGCTAGTTCAAGTTGCATAATTTGACAAAAAGACTACTATCTAAAAAGCCAACAGCATGAGTTAGGAATATATTTTAAAATTTAAGCAATCATTCTTTTGATGTCCTTTCGGATGTTTCAAAATTGTAAAAAAATTAAGTTCGTAGATTAATTTTACGGAAAAAATAAAAAAAAATTACAATTGTCTTATGTAATCAAATTTAAGCCAAAACTTAGATTATATCTAATAAAAAATTTGATTCAACCTATATGAGTTTTGAGAGCAAAACGATTTTTAAAAAATCAATAGATAAGACACAATGTGTTCAAATTTGGTATAGAAGATATGATTTTCTTGAATGACACTTTTTCACCATAGATTTTGGATGATAAGTGATCTTTCGATGAAATTTGGAAGCAATTGCAACTGTGTTTTGAGTATCAGATTGTTTTGTATAAATGCATCGTATCCTGGAATGAGTTGTTAAAATATTTTTATGATGCCGGAAACTGAGAATCTAGAACACTAAATATGAAAAAATATAATCTTATAAATGTTTTGCAATATATTTACACTTTGTTTACTACAACTCTAAACTCTATTCTTATATATATATATATATATATACACACACACATGCATACACACTCAATTAGATGATACCAGGTGTTTGCACTCTTTGAAAACAATTACAAAAGGAAGTAAGCAAATGGAAAAAACAAAAAGTAAAATAAAATTGCATCAGAATATCTCAGTCATTCATCATAACCATTTTCTACACGTAAAAATATTTCCTCATTTCTGATAGTATTTGTTTATTTCTAAAGAACTACAGAAGAACGACCTTAAATACGTGTACAAAGATCGACAAACATGTTGATGTCATGCTTCGTTTCTTCGTTCTGGCTCGTATCGTGTTGATATGCACGGGTTTCTGATACATATGAAGATTTTCTCGAGACCTACTAATACAAAGTCTGTACTACTTTCGTTTTACGAAGTCTCCATTCGACAAATCGTCAAACTAATTTACATTGAACATCTTAACAAAAGACTGCCTTCAGAACATAGTTCCTCAGGGGACAACCTAGGGAACACCTGGCATCGCATTTGATTACTGTAGTCCTCCCCGTTTATAAAGTCAGACAGGACTCTGGCAATGCCGGTATGCCACGTGGATACGACGTTTGCTCTGACCAAATCTCACCAACGCCAATTGTAGGCATCACGTATCCAGCCACGTAGATCTGCCGTGCATGACAATTGCATGGTCTTGTTTCCGACAAAGAGAACAAGCAAGCGCCAGTGACCCCACCAGCTGAAACCATGAGGATAAAATGGACAAGCTCATGTTTCCCTCTTCACCAAAGTTTCATCTACATTTCCTACATGTAATATAGCTGCCATTGAGATATTTTTTCCAGACATTTATTACAATAATTCGTATCTTTTTCCGATTAGTTTTCGGAAAAAGATAAAAAACCTCCGTCTAAAAGCCAGAGGTTTATGATTTCATCACGCTTTACATTCTCAATTAATGTATATGGCCATTTCTCAAGCTCTTCTTGAAACAGACTAATTTGAACTGGTCCTTTTGTAACTCTTGGGAAAACTTTCTGAGCTTGAAATAAAATTTAATGGCGATCATTGTTGGATAATTATTATCGTTCTCATTAATTATAAGTTATTATTTTACAACTTTATGCTTTTCAATCTAGGTCAATTCTTTAATCTTATAAGAGCTTTTTCGTAAATATTGCTAGTGTATCGTATGTTGGTATTTCGAAGCGTGAAAATTTGTGTCAAGATGACATAATAACTGAAAATTTTAATTCTAATGAATCTCGTGAGTATTGCTGCTCATTTTTTATATAATGATTCTTCATCAAAAGAAAATTAGAAATTTCATTTCACTAATAGTATATTTATTTTGCAAATAACTTTGTGAGACTGTGATTGAACAAAATATATCAACTTTGAGATTTGTGTGTCAGTTACGCCCAAAAAACTAATGTAGTTGAGTAGTTGAGATTGACATTCAAGAATTATAAGTAAAAACTTCTATGTATAGAATAAATTTTGTTAATAATGGTTAGCGTACATGAGTCGGTAATCTTGAAATTGGTTGCTTGTTCAGCTTCTTTGCCATGCACAATACCGATACTATATATTTTTCTTGGCTTCTGATTGTTTGCAGGTTATCTATAATATTCCATGTTTCCATCGGATTGAAAACATGGTATTGATGAAGTCCTTGGATTTGTATTTCTTGGTCAATTTCAAATTACTTGGAGATGCCTTAAAATTAGAATCTCATGTGCAATGGCCAAGTACAGTAAATTTGTTGGTTCTGCACATGCCCAATGATAAGTTGCAGTTTACATCTCTTATTACATTCATGTACTTAAATTTTTTTAAATACTTTGGATTTTCCACACCACGGACTTGCTATGTGTGATGAAAGTTATCAAAGTTGTTTTTCCTCTGTATATCATTAAGGAAAGTTTGGAGTTTACTTTTGACATCGGTGTAAAATTGGAGACTTCATACATTTATCTCCTTGGCCTATTGCCTACTAGCAAAATACTTTGAACATTTCATAATGTTATCTATCCGTATATTGACAATTGTAAGAGCTTTCCTTGGCTTTGCATGTCTCTTAAGATCAATTTTTTACAAGTTTTGACAATAAATGACACAACGAGTATAAACATATTGATAGCTTCCCATAGAATGAACATATAGTGCTTGGATGTCATTACAAGCACTATTTCATTCTGAGATGTGGTAGAAGTGATCTAATCATACACAAAATTTTACAAAAGAATATTTGATAGTTCAACGGATGATGTATTTACAACGTACGATCAAGTCATTTCATCAAAGTTAATGTAAACTTTTATTGTTCAGGTTTCATCTAACTGTGCATCCTCACAATGGACAGTGCTGAAACAATGAAGATCCACTGAGATTGTTCCGAATCTGCGATCTTTGTTTGAGGTTTCTGACCTTACAACAAATCTGGAAGTAAATTGCTTAATATCCAAGGCCATGAAAAACAAAATCTACGATGCTTAGATAGTAAAGTTGCTGAGGAGTGAGAAGCAATTACACATGCAAGTTAGTCAATCTATTTCACGGATTAACATACAGCTCTTAGTATCATATGTTGTTACTCTTGTATTATAGAAAACAAAAGATGGGGATACATTTATTTATTTCAAGGAGCTCTTGCAATATTCGTGATACAATGTAAAAGGCCGTTCAAGCTTTATTTACCATTATGACGAAGGAAATGCTGAATACTTAAGGAAATTAGAGGGAAAATGAAATAAGCTCGCAGTTCAATTACAAACTCATGACCGGAAGAATAGTCAGAAAGAACAATAGAGAGTCAAGGAGTAGTTTGAGAAGACGATGAAGAGAAGAAAAC